GCTATCTCTGTGGTACTTGGAAGTTAATATCAATAATCATTGATGAAAAAAAATTGTTCCGTGTAGAGCATACTTGGGACTGCAATGAGTATATTCAGAAAAATTCCCAATGCTACTATCTAACAGTTTACATCAATATTCTTAAACAGAAATACCACAATATATCTTAGAAATAAAAAAAATCAATAAGCCTTCACAAATTCTTAAACAGTAACTAAATCAAATCTTGAGATGATAGCAGAACTGAAATATTTATCAACTTATCAGAAAATACCTGATATACATTGCAATACAACAAAGAACCATTTCTAAAAACTTAATTTGCCAGACACACCCACTTTCCCTGATACTAATAAAATTCAATTTTCTTTCCTTTTTAATAAATGTGTCCTGAAACTCAAGCTATCCTATCTCAATTCAGTTTTTCCATGCAATATATATATATATATATATATATATATATATATATATATATATATATATATATATATATATATATATATATATATATATATATATATATTTACTTTTCCTCATCTTTGTATCTTTTACTGGTGGACCTGAATGTTTCAAAGAAACTTGCTTCCACCACTAGCCTCATGCTGATTAGTGTAGCTTATGCACCTCTTGACACATTAATAAAAGAAAAAACAAAAAACAAAACAAAACAGAGAAATTGCTTCCGAGCCTGAATTGAAACCCCCTTAAATTGCATCCTGGAGTTCAAAAATACGGAGTCAAACCATACTATGCATAAGTCAATGTAATTTGATAACAAGAAATATCTGTATATATATCTGTATATATATGAAAAGTAAATGTAAAGCCAAAACAACTTATAATATCACACAACTCGGTAACTGCTTGACCAAGTCCTATGATGATGTGGCTTCCGCACTTCACACACGATTATTAAAAAAAAAAAAACCTACACAATAGATATTTTCATGATAAATCTTGTTCATCTGCAAGACACTTCATCGCTAGAGCATAAAATTGCTAAAGCAATATCATGTCAAATATACGCTGGGGAGATTTATTGGCCTTTGCTGGAGTGCACTGCGTCATATAGTCCTTTTCGCAATAAATATCTTATACTTTTTATACCTATAAATATATCTAAGAAAAGAATAGAAAAAAAAATATCCCTCTCATCAAAGATAAAATTTTGACCTCGGTCATTCTTTCATGCGTGGGCCCACATTTCTTACCCTTGACAAGATTGTGGTCGAGACTAGGCTTATTCGATCGAACCCCACTGATACACTGCAATATCGTGACCTGACCTAATGTAACCTAACCTAATTAACCCTTAACCTATAATTACTCTAACCTACTCTCCTTCCTCCTCTATTCCCTTCCATTTCCCTTCCTATCCTACCCTATCCTACCCTACCCTACTCTATGCTGTCCTACCCTAACCAATCGAACGGAACTTAACCCAATCAGAAATATAAGCCTAACCTAACTCAACCATGCCAGGTTTGACTCATCAGTTAAACATTACAGATCTTGTCAGGGTTTAAATGGACTTGAACAACACAAAAATAAACCTGTCTCAAACATTACAGCATAAGCTTTGCCAAACTTCAGACCAAACCATATTTCAACATGACTTCCAAAATTGTACTTATTCTTATAACATCATCGGCCATGTTATACCCAACTGCAGTAAAACGGTTATGATTTGTTAATGAAAATCTACCTTTAGAAATCATACTGAATAATGGTCTAGCGTCAAACAATCCCAGTGGCCTCTGCGCTCCGGCAAAGGCCAACATACCCCAAGCATATATTATGTGGCAAGATAAAGCGCCGACCGGTTTCGTTTTTTTACATATTAATTCGCCAGGAAGGTCTAGACACTATATCTCACCAAAAAATACATATTATGCAGGTTTGCTCGTCTTTGCCTAACATATCACTCGACAAGATTATGGCGACCGGTAAGAAAAAAAACAGTTCCCGAAACCTATTCCAACCATTATATCACCCGAATCAGCCTCGCTCAGGCCATAACCCTCGCATTAATGCCTCACAACAACATCGCCACATATAGCAAAGAAAGTGCATTCGTGTATGCTCCTATTTCAGTGCATTCTTACTCCTTAATATCTGAAAGAGACGTATTGATTCTAAACCAGAGCTTTTCTCCCCCACCCCCCTTCACGCTGACCCCAGGCACGCCCATCCCCATAGGAACGCCTCGCCTGCAAAACCTTCACAAAAACCCTCCTGCTGAGTACTTTGGGAGAGTGACAGTGCCGCAGGGGGGCGGTGCTGCAGGAGGGTCTCTGGGGGGGCGTGTGCGAGTGCCTAGGGGGAAAGGGTGTCAAAGGGGAAAATGCCCTGAGGGGGCGTGAGCGAATGCCCGACGGCGGTGCCATTTTGAGTGGGGTGCGTGAAGGGGGGCGTGTGCGAGTGATAGTGGTGCCATATTGAGTGGGGAGGCCAAGGGGACGCGGACGCCCCCCCGCCCGCGCCCCCGCCTGGCACTTAC